AATCGGTCTAATCTCACTAGTATCATCTAAATGAAACTGACCCATCAGTATCTAGTTTGACTTGCTAGCACCAGAGGCCACTGCATTCACGGGAGCTGAATGCTGATTAAAATTCTGGGCTGGAAAGAGTAAGCAAAATAGTGGAATTGATTCAAGATAGTTTTATAAAATGGTAAAAATTTTTAAATCGCTGAGCTATTCAAATAAGACATTCCAACTTAGCTCTGTGGTTTTCATCAATTGTTGTTGTTGCTGTTAAGTGGCATCAAATTGGTTCCGATTTGTATCGACTCTATATAGGTTTTCAGAGGAGCACCTGGTGGGTTCAAATTGCTGACCTTGTGCTTCACAGTATAGTGCCACATCAGGATTCTTCAATTAGAGACATTAAACAAAATTCACAAGCAAAGTCATAATACTAGCCTGAAATGTTAACTTCAGACTAAATAAGGGGTTTTAATTTTAACTCAATGAAGAGCATAACTAGTAAAATGATGTTGTTGTTAAGTGCCATCAAGTTGGTTACAACCTTTAGTGCCCCTGTATAGGGTTTTTGTACCACTGACCTTGCCATTTAAACCAACCTTGCGGTCAAGTGCTCATCCTTACAGTGCCACACCAGGACTCCTGTTTTTTAAAACATAACTATTAGAAAGCTCCCAGGGTCTTTTTCTGTAGTTTGCTTTTAGATAAATAGGGATTAAGCCTGTTGAGAATGCAGCATACGTTAGAGCATGAAGAAAAATAACAAAGCCATGTTATTCATAAATGATCTTTCAAAATATTAAGCTCATCATTACTGAGACGCTTTCCAGGAATATATATGACACTTAAAGTTCAACAGGAGTCCTGGTGTGGCACTGTGGGTTAATCCGTTGGACTGCAACATCAGTTTAAATCACAAGGTCAGCTGTTCAAGCTCACCAACTGCTCCTCGGAAACCCTACACAGGGTCGCTGTGGGTCGGAATCTACTTGATGGCACTCAACAACAATGACAACAAAGTTCATCAAGTGGCAAATGTGCTGAAAACTACATTTACCCTGAAACCTGTACGTATTGTTGAAGTGCCTCTGAGTCAATTCCATCTCATATCATCCCTGTATAAGGTTCCCAAAGCTTTAAATCTTTGCAGGAGCAAAAAGTCTCATCTTCACACAGAGCTGCTGGCCTGCTCAAACTGCAGAACTTGTAGTTCACAGTCTGATGCTTATGGTATGGAGTCACCACGCTCCAAGTCTGAATTAATGTCTATTTATTTCCTGGACTCCTGGAGCTGTAGGATAAGCACTGGACTGTGAACCACAATGTAGGCAGTTCAACTCCACCAGCTGCTCCTTGGAAAACCTACAGAGAGGTGGCTACATTGGTCGGAACTGACTTGATGGCGCTTAACAACAACATTTCATTATTTCTGTTGCTGTTGTTGTTAGGTATTAGTCGGTAGTTGTGCGCTGTGGACTCAGTTCCACCTAATAGTGACCCTGTCTAAGGTTTTCGAGGCTATAAATTTTTACGGGAGCAGAAAGCCTCATCTTTCTCCAGCGGAATGGCTTGTAAAGTTCTGAAATGCTGACCTTGAGGTTAGCAGCCGGACTTGTAACCACTACACCAAATCAGTTCTGACTCATCACAACCTTATGTACCAGATTACAACTTGGCCCAGTCCTGTTCCATCTCATTATCATTGGTATGTTTAAACCCATTTTTGTAGATATGTTATCTTAATTAGTAACTTCCACACTTCAGTATGGAGTCCTGGTGCGACACTGCGGGTTAATGCACTGGACTGCAAGGTCAGTTTTAACTGCAAGGTTGGTAATTCAAGCTCACTAGCCACTCCTAGGAAACCCTATACAGGGTCTGAGTCCAAAGCAACTTGATGACACTTAACAGGAACACTTCAGTGTAGCCTTTGTTTAGCGTAGCAATATGTACTGTTTCTTAAAGTGGAAACGTTTATTTTTGGACCACACGTAGTCCTCAAGTCTGACACTTCCCAGCATATTACTTAATCCATATCTGAAGTCTCAGATTCTTTACAAAATGAATGGACTGGGTGCTCAATCATTTATTCAACAATTGTTTGCTGAGCTTCCCATTTAAACCAGGGACTATGAGTAACCTTGGAGATAGAATTTTGAAAAAGGCAAGTTCTACTCTTCAGGAGTTTATAATTCAGTCATTTTGGGGAAATTAAATGAAGTCACATGAATAGCATACCTAGCACAAATCTGGAGTAAATCATAGTGTTTCAAATCCCCATGCATCTTCCTCTATTTAAAAGGCTACTTTCAGTCTTTGTTAACTGAAAGTTCCGTTTTGTAGCAATTAGTCAACAAGCTAAACTGATCTATAAAGACAACACAGCTTGCCTGAGAAGCTGAAATCTGTCTACCAATCTAATGACCTTTAGAAGTGGTTATTATATTGAAACTGTGAAATATACAATAATTCCTCAATTAACTAGGATGAACCTAAAATGTTCTGGTTCATTTAATTTACTGGTTAGTAGAGTTAAGTAAAAAATAAACAAACATTTAGTTAAATCCATCCTAGAAATATATGAGTATATTTTCTGCCCTCATAAATACTGTAGAATTTAAAATAATTGTGCAATTTTATTTCTCCACCATCAACTTATCTGGTAGTTGACAGATTTTGTTTGTCTCCATAGAATATTGTCCAGGTGAGGTCACCTTTTTAGCATCACAGAATTTTAGGACTCAAAGTCACATTAAAAATCATTTTGTACTAAAGTTCTCTCATATAAAATATATAATTCACAATAAAACATGAAAAAAAAATCCTTTTGTTCAAGGTGCTAATTTTAGGCATCAAGAAAATAAAACTCGGTGTAGTTTAGTGAATTTGCTTCAAGTCACACTGAGTGGCAAAAACTAAAATAAAGCCCAGCAGAGAAGATTTCTGGTCTAGAGGTATTTATTTTTCAAAGTATTACAGATTTATAAAATATAGGAGGTTGAGGTAAATGTTGATGAGCTGCCCAGCATATCCTAAAAACTTGGAAATAGAACTTTGGTTTGTGTCATTTGCCTCATTCTGCTAAAAAAAAAAACAAGAATAAAACCATCAATGTTGAATTTTGTGTGTGTTTTCCCCCAGTGATTGAGACTTTTCTTGATTTTAATATTACTATTGTTTTGAAAAGAGTGAGGGTTTCTGCATTAACTCTTAAAACATCAAGTTAATACATTTTATTTCTTGACTAACAGGGTTGTAAATAATAAATGATATGGTTTCATAAATGCATAAGCTATACTGAACACCTAGGCACATAGAGTTCATTTTGAGCAGGATTTTGAACACAGTCTGATTGCCCTTGTTTTGTGGTTTCAAGTCAGACAGTTAACAGTAGTTGAAATAGTTTATTTTCTCATGGTATAATATTTAGAGCATTCAAGAGCATGTTAAGTAAAATGAATGCATACACAGTGTCTACATAAATGTAAATTTATTCATAATCAAGAGCAGAATATTTTCTATGGCATTTATCAAAGCAAATATCCTTATATAGGTATTGCTATAAAATGAAGAGTGTGTTTAAAACAAATAGGGACAATCTCATGTTTATATTCAGTTATTTTCAGATGTGCTATTAAACTTAAAAAAAATTATATTTCATCAAAAAACAAAAGGAACTACTGAGTACATATTCTACAGTAATATCAAGGTCTTTAAAAAGACCTTTGTGTAAAGGTGCTATTTTGCTATAAAAAATGCCATTGTCTATCTACAGAAACCACTTACCTATGCTGATTCTGGGCTGTATTAAGTAACCATTCTTTTGAGATAGAATATAATAACAATCATAAATATATAGGGTTCATTTAACCTTCTAGTTCATTCTTTTTCAGATGAATACAAGGTCCACAGGGAACTAATTTCACTAAGCCAAACATTTTGGAAAAAGCCATCAACAATTATGACATTCCACAAATACTAAAATATAATCCTGATAATCCCAAATTGTTGTTTTTGTTAAGTGCCATAAGTCAGTTCTAACTCATAGTGACCCTGTACAGGGTTTCTGAGAGGAGCTGGTAGGTTTGACTTGCCACTTTACAATGATCAGTCCAGTGCATATCCTGCAGCACCACACCAGGGCTCTTTTTTGTTGTTGTTCTTATTGTTATATGCACTCAAGTCAGTCCAACTCATAGCAGTTTCTGTATACAAACACTGTATATGGTTTCTGAGGCTGTAAATCTTCGTGGGAGCAGAAAGCCTCATCTTTTTCCCTTGGAGTAGCTAATGGATTTAAATCGCAAGCCTTGTGGTCCAGTCTAATGTTTACCGTACGGAGTCACAGAGTCCTTAGGTTAGAGAAAAATCTATTAGCTCAGATTGTTATTTTATCAATTTGTATAATGTATAATATGTATGTAGGTGATGGATTGATGTAATTTATATTTAGGATCTAAAGTGAGTTTTTAGACCCAATATCATTATTTCAGGGTTTAAAAATATTTTTTCTTTTTTTAAATGAGGAAGAAAGAGAAGGTGAAATAAAGAAAAGAGGAGCAGGGAGGAAGAGATGAGGACAGACACAGTGACAGAGAACTAAAGTGAACTTACTTCCAGCTTGATGAGATGTTCATTGCCAGGAGAAAGATACTGTAGCATGTGATCCTGAAAAAGTTTTGTACTGTTATGTAGGACATCCCAAATTGTAAAATCATGCGTGTGATTTGAAATATATAATACATAGCGCTCCAGAATTCCATTTATTTTCCTTGGTTGTTGCAACCTATGAATGGAGAGATATAGAATTATATCAAGTGAAAAATGAAATGTTCAGAATTTTGTAAAGACACATAGGAATTTGCATTGTGCCTTGGTAAAAAGCAATCTAAAAGCTTAATAGTGATTCATAAAGATAAAAACAAGCATACTATCAAGAAAATAGAACACAGTCCCTGCTTCTATTTGCTTATTGTTTTAATTACCTACTAACACATAAAAGACTTGTCTGTCAGTTGATCATACTGAGGTGACTTGTGAGTTGCTGTGATGCTGTGATGCTAGAAGCTATGCCACCAGTATTACAAATACCAGCAGGGGCACTCATGGTGGCCAGCTTTCAGTAGAGCTTCTCAGTAAGACAGACTAGAAAATGGACCTGGTGATCTACTTTTGGAAATATTTGCCAGCCTTTGAATAGCAATGGAACAGTCTCTGCCATAGTACCAGAAGATAAGTTCCTCAAGTTGTAAGGCACTCAAAATATAACTGGGGAAGAGCTGCCTTTTCAATGTAGAAATGATCTTAATGACATTAATGGAGTAAAACTTTTGAAATCTTCAATTACTGATATGGCACAACTCAAATGAGAAAAAAACATTTGCAAACATCCATTAATAATTGGAAAGTGAAATGTATGAACCATGAATGAAGGAAAATTGGAATCCATCAAAAATTAAATGGAATGCATAAAGATCAATATCCTAGATATTAGTGAGCTGAAGTGGACAGTGTTTGGCCATTTTGAATTGCATTTACATTCAAAAAGAGCATTTCAAGATGGATTCTGAAGTACAACATTGTCAGTGATAGGATAATACTCATATACTTACAAGGAAGACCAGTTAATACAACACTTACTCTAATTTACCCAGCAACCACCAATGCTACAGATTAAGAAATTGAAGAATTTTACAAATACTTCTACAACCTGAAATTGATCAAACATATAATCAAGATACATTGATAACTGGCTACTAGAATGCAAGAGGTAAAACTGAAGATTTGTAGTTGGAAAACATGGTCCTGTTGGGAGAACAATATTGTAGATCACATGATTGGGCTTTGCAAGAACAACTTACTCATTATAAATGCCCTTTTTTTTTCTTTTCCAACAACATGAATGGTAACTATACACATGAACTTGTCTGGATAGATCACACAGGATTCAAATCAACTACATGGGAAAAGACAATGAACAAGTTCAATATCACCAGTCAAAACAAGGCAGGGACCAAATGCGTAACAGATTATCAGTTGTTCTTATGCAAATTGAAGTTGAAGTTGACAAAAATTAAAACAAGTCCTCAATAGCCAGGTCTTGACACTAAGTCTGTAATGTAATGTATAGTGCTGTCATGTCAATTCCCACTCATAGTGACACTTTATAGAATTTCTAAAGAGTAGCTGGTGGTTTGAACTGCTGATTTTTCAGTTATCCCACCTAAAAGTAGAGATGATCTCAATAATAGATTTGATGTATTGAACATTAATGACTAAAAATCAAACAAGTTGAGGGATGGAGTCAAGGACATCATGCATGAATAAAGGAAAATAAAAGGTCATAAAAATGACAGAAAAAAAAAACATAAAGTGTCTGAAGAAATGTCCAAGAGACTCCAAAACTTGCTGTTGAATGTACAGTAGCTAAGCAAATGGGAGAAATGAGCTGAAAAGACAATATCAGAGGCAGGCTCAAGAAGATAAAGTACGATAATGAAATGTACAAAAACATGGAGCTAAAAAAATTTAATGAAGAACATTCTTGGCTTTTCTCTAGAAAGAACAAAAGATAAAATTCAAGTCTGAAGTTACAATATTGAAGTATTCTGTGGGCAAAATATTGAATGACATAGGAAACATCAAAATAAATGGAAGAAATACACAAGTCATTGTCTCAATAAGAATTGGTCAATTTTTAATCATTAAAGAGCATAGTATGTGACAAAGATCTAATTGTAATGAAAGAAATTCAAACTGTACTTCAGGCACTGGTTAAAAAGAAGGCTCTTGAAATTCACAGATTGCCAACTGACATATTCAAACAAAGGGATACTGTCAACATCCATGGAAGCATCAGTCAAGAAATCAAAGGATGATGGATTGGGTAAAGTGCTGCAAAAGATCTCTTTAAAGTGTTAAAAAGCAAAGATACCATCTTGAGAACTAAGGTGTATCTGACTAAAGTCATGATATTTTCCATCGCCTCAAATGCATGCAAAATCTGGACAATGAATAAGGAAGACATAAGAAGAACTGATGCACTACACTATAGTGTTGGCAAAGAATACTGAATATACCTTTGACTATCAGATGAACTAACCCAAGTTGGAAGAAATTCAGCCAGAATGCTCCTTAGAATCAAGAATGATGAGATTTCATCTCATTTACATTGGACATGTTATAAAGAGGGCCCAGTCCCTACAAGACATCAGGCTTGGTAAAGGAGAGGGTCAGTGAAAAAGTGAAAGACCCTCAATGAAATGGATTGACACAGTGGCTACAACAATAGGTTCATGCAAAACAATGGTTATGAGATGACACAGGACCAAGTAGTGTTTGGGTCTGTTGTACATAGGGTTACTATACACTGGTACCAACTCAAAGGAATCTAACAGTAGGAATAATACAAAAAATATTTCGGGTGGCACAACTGCTAAACATTCATCTACAACCTAGTCTGTCTGCTGGAGAATGATCTGGTGATGTGCTTCTGTAAAGACTATAGTCAAGAAAACCTATGGGGAAGTTCCCTAGGGTTGCTATAAGTCAAAATAGACTCAATAGCACCCATGGACAATAGCAATAATAAATTAAAAGCATATATAAATGAGTATTTGATTTTTTTATTTTAATGTTTTATCATGAATTATGTAATAGTTTACATGGGAGAACATTAGCTTTACATTCATCCTATCATATATCGTTTCCTTGCCATGGTTACAATACCCTCCATGCATCATCAACCAACCAAAGGATATACTCTGCAAGCCTATCCCCCAGTCAACAGCACACAGCCCCTCTCCCTCTCTGGGTCTAAAGTCCCCAGCTGCTCCATCTCTCCACGTCATTGTCTCTGCCTCCATTTCTGGCATCACTGCTTCTCTGGGAAGGGTCCCGCTCTCCACTCTTCTCCCTTGATGGTCCCAGGGACCTCCGCTCCT